ATTTAACTTAGTTTTGCTCTCTCTTTTCAAGTGAGAAGCTGAAATGGATACTTGCATTTTACTTATCACAATTGGCTGCCTTCTTTACAGCTGTGAAAAAATGAACAGCTTGCCATATCCATCAAAGAAAAACCATTGACATGTGTGTTTGTGTGTGTTTTTGTGTGTCTTTAAAAAATACTGCATCTGTGCTACATTGTACTTAACCGCAATGACAGTGACTAACATATAATAAAAGACATTAATTGGTGACGTGCTTCAGAAAAGTGAGCATTTAAGTCAGCTCCTCAGATTCAGGGAATAGGGTTCTTTCCTAAGGAAGAAGAGAAAGATGTAAATTAAAACTCAACTGCAAAGCAGAAGTAATATAGAGGATGATCTGGCAAACTGGTTAAAAGAAAAACAGAAATGTCCTATTTCTTATTAGCTGAACTTGCTGTAAATTCCAAAGACTTTAGGTTTTATCCATTTACTACACTTTGGAGAATGATCCTAAAAAAAAATGAAAACTTAAACAGAATAGTCTCTTATTAAACTGGGAAAAGATGAGAGTGCAATAAGTAAAGACAACCCGGGGGAAAGCAGATTTGGTTGAAAAAGAAAGGCAAGGGAGAAAGGCTTCAAATTGTCCTTTCCTCTTCTCTGGCTTATACTTCAGATTCCTTATAGATGAATTCTCTATATATAAAATTTGAAAATTCTTTTTTTGATGAGTAGTAAACCATTTCAGTGATCTTACTCATCAAATTTAGCTCAAATGTTCTAAATAAGAACATTTTCACATTTAATAAAACTTTTCAAACAGCTGTCTTAAAAAAAAAAAAAAGAACTCCTCCATGCTTTGTAATACCTGAGAACATTTCTAAACCTTTCATTTTGGCAAAGATCAATTTTGATAATATACTCTGTGGTGAGAATATGAAGTTTCAAGCACACTTATGTTGGTGGTCGTATAAATTGGTACAACCTCTGTAGAGAGTGGTTTGTAATATCTAAGATAAAAAAGCACATACCCTTTGACCTAGCGATTCCTGTTCTATGGATTTAAGCTACATATATAATTTCTCATATGTGGAAACACATATGTTCCAATAATACTCATTGAAATGTCATCTGTAATAACATTTGTTTATCAATATACAAATGATTATAAATTTAGTTTTATCCATCTGATGGTATACTATGCAGCTATTTTAAAACAAATTCAGTATATATTGGTATGGAATGATCTCAAAGAGATATTAAGAAAATATCATGTCTGTATTTGTTTTTGTTTTTTGTTTTTTGTTTGTTTTTTGTTTTTGAGGCGGAGTCTCGCTCTGCCGCCCGGATCTCAGCTCACTGCAAGCTCCGCCTCCCGGGTTTACGCCATTCTCCTGCCTCAGCCTCCCGAGTAGCTGGGACTACAGGCGCCCGCCACCTCGCCCGGCTAGTTTTTTGTATTTTTAGTAGAGACGGGGTTTCACCGGGTTAGCCAGGATGGTCTCGATCTTCTAACCTCGTGATCCGCCCGTCTCGGCCTCCCAAAGTGCTGGGATTACAGGCTTGAGCCACCGCGCCCGGCCTGTATTTGTTTTACATATAATTCCCCTGAAATGTAAAAGAGACTAGTAAAGGTAGCCACATCAGGGAAGTTGTTATGCAGGGCAGGAGCCCAAGGTGGAAGGGAAATTTTCACCACATTCTCCTTGAAACCTTTTGATTTTTCTACTCTGAGCATCTATTTGAATTCTTTCTTATTCAAAATAAATTAAATTTTAAAAGTGTGGAATCTCAAGTCACAAATAAACTTGAAACAAACCGGGTTAATTTAACTTATTTCAATGACTTCAGTAGCCCAAGAACTGAAAGTCTAAATTATTTAATTCTGAATGTAACCGAACTTATGTAGAAAAGTCTTATCCTAAGCCACGCAAACTCAGGGCTAGAGAAGTATTTCTTTTTAATGACATATTTCTTAAGCAGGCATTTGTAAAACTAAAATGCACCCATTCTTTACTTGCTTAGGAAGTTTAAAGCTTGTCTCTGTAAGGTAAAATAAAGGAAGCTTTGTAGCCATCATTAAATGTCTTCACTGTAAGATTTATTACCATAATTGTGACAGAGCAAATGATTTTTTTTTTTTCCTGGCAGCAAAAATAGTTTTAAAAAGAAACTAGGTATTGTTTTTTCTTTTCCAAGCAAAGTATAGATACCTCAAAATTACATGGTGTCACAGAGCATGCCATAGTTAGAAAAAATGATGCACTGCCTTTTCAGTCTTATTAAGAAAATTACATAGTTAACTCTTTGTACCTTTGAAGGATGTCTCTGATGAACTTTGTTATTAGAACAACATTTGGCTGGAAATTGTGTATTAAAACGAACTCAGTTTAGAGTTAACAAAGTAGATTCTGATATTAAACAAATGTCATAGCAATAAATACAAATTATATAACTGTGGCTGAACAGTCCAAGACTTTTAGCTATTGGTGGAAGGAACAACAAGAATGTAAAGGATCTGTATTAGTTGATTGACAAGTGGGTTATTAATGTACTAAGGGAAGGACCATGTCATTTTTTGCACTACTATCTGCACAGACTAATATCATGGGGTTCATGCTAGTCACTCACTCACTCACTCATTTTTCTTATTTGGTCAATCAGTCCCCAACCCCTGATTTTATTGTAGAGGACACAAAAGTAAATGAGGCAGTTTCTGTTCTTCAAGAGCTTACAGGTTAGTGAGAGGGAGGTTAGCGGGAGATGAACACAAGACACAGATAAATGTAATGCCATGTAACAAGTAAGAGAGAAAACTCTTAGGAGTCCAGAGGGAAGTCCTCTCATTCAGCTCGAAGTGCATGTCTATTTATGTGTCTTGGGGAGGTGGAGTGGGGAGGATCAAGAAAGATTTCCAAGATGGTGTGATGTTTGAAGGGAGTTTCAGTGCTATGTGGAAGTTCAAGTTCACTGTGTTGACTGGTGGTTGCAGGGTCGGGGAGAGGCATAGGCAAAACTCCAGGCAGAGTTCACAACAATAAAAAGATAAGGAGGTGAGAAATATCAAGGTGAGGGGTGGAGGAGGAGGTCAGCTCTAAGCCACGGTGTTGCTGAAACCTATGGGAGAAGCAGGATCCACAGAGGAGATTCCTAGCAAACTATTTGAATAAGAATGGACTATGAGAAAAATGCAAGAAGAATCATAATTTTCAGTCACCCTTGAAATGTGCTTACTTCAGAAATGTAACTACAACTTTAGATGCTAACTATGTAATTTAATTTAGAGAGGGACAGCCATTATCATAAATTGAGACCATGGTAATAATTAGGTTGTTTTCTGATTATCTAGAAATGTTAAAAAGATTATTTGCACTGTAGAAAATATTGTTGGTATGGCATTGACTGTCATGCCACAGGTTGCATCTGACAAGCACAGTTCATAGAAACGTCACGAGGCCTCTGGGAGCTTATGTGTAAAGTTTGAGGGTGTTGCTGCTAGGTGGTGCTTTTTATTTGGAAACACTCCTAAAAATCTGGATTTTAAAAAATTAAAAGTACTGAGTAAGTTATTAGAATAAAAATTTATCATGAATACTAAAAAGCTAACTGTGGAAAAGTAAAAGTAGTTGCGGTAGGATAGGATAAAGCAATGTGAAGTTCTGTCAATATATATTTTTTTATTGTGGCAAAATACATGATACATAGCATAAAACTTACCATTTTAACTACTTTTGAGTGGACAGTGCAGTGGCATTAAGTACATTCACATTGTAGTGCAACCATCACCACCATTTATTTCCAGAGCTCTCTCCTCTTCCCAAATGGAAACTCTGTACCCATTAAACAAGAACTCTCCATTACTCCCTCTCCCCACTCTGGTAACTACCATTCTATTTTCCATCTATGAATATGGCTCTTCCAGGCACTTCCTAATATGTGGTCTCATTAGCTTGAGTGTAACTCTGCTAAACTTCATTTATCTGCTCCACTGAGAGTCTAGAAATGTATTCATAAATAGGTTTGGCTTCAGGAGATGTGACCTACAGGCTTGATTATTTTTTGGGCTTGGCCCACAGAGAAGTATGGAAGCAGTTGATGAACTTCACACTCCTAGCTACTAATGCACACAAGTTATCTCTTTATGTGGCTGATAAAGCTAGTGAAACTGTTAATGTGGGAAGGCCCTTTCTTGCTGGCTTCTTGAGCTCCCAGATTCGACTTCAGATGGTGAGGCAGCTCATTGCTTCCTACTGTATCTTTTTCTCCAACAGGGATAAATTGGCAACCATTTGGAAATATTAATATGTCCATTCTTACTTTACAGATCTCTGTGGAAGTGTTCATTATAATTGATACTACATATATGAATACCTTCAAAGCTGTTGCTTTAAAATATATTGAGAATCCTTAAAGAGTAAATGGAAATCTTTCCAGCCTCCAACTAAATAATAATGTTATAGTACATTTATGTTACATTGTTGTTCTGAAGAACAAAATATGTTCAAATACTAGGGGAATGGGATGTTTTAGTCCATTGATTGCTTATAGTTTCAATCTTTCTGGTTAGATTTTTTAGAATGCAAGAGTTGCTTATCTGCTTGTATTATCAATCACATTCAGTAAAACAGAAATGGACTCTAAAATAATTATTACTGTTAACTTAATTCACTTTTAGCCTCTGCAACCAGTGAAGTAACGCCTTTTTAATTTTTTTGTGATTGAAAAATAATGCATGCAAATTATTTAAAATGTGGATGTTCTAAATAAAATTATTTAAAAATCAACCATAAAATGCTACCACCAGGAATAATGACTGTCAGTTTTGTTGCATTTCCTTATGCACCTATAACATGTATCCAAAAATCTGTATCTTATCGTGTTCTTTGCAATAAAATTTATCAAATTTTTCTGTTATTTATTATTGTTTTAGAACTTTTAAAAAATAACTACAATAATATTTTATCATATGGCTATACAGTAATAAATCTAACTATTTTTTCTATTCCTCATATTGTTAGGCATTGAGTAGGAAGGGGCTATTTACCTGAGAGTTCAGAGTGGGAGGCATCTGTCAGACCTGGATTGGAGCATCCCCTCTGTCTCCCGTCTACTATGCATGACTCTGGGCAAGTCGATGGAAAACTTTTAACATTGTCTCTGCTGCGAAACTTGAAAAATCGAGATTTTCAAACACAGCATGACATTTAATGTAAAAGAAAGAGGCCAGCATGGTGGCTCACGCCTGTAATCCCAGCACTTTGGGAGGCTGAGGCAGGCGGATCACCTGAGGTCAGGAGTTTGAGACCAGCCTGGTCAACATGGTGAAACCCCATCTCTACTAAAAATACTGGGCGTGGTGGCACATGCCTGTAGTCCCAGCTACTCAGGAGGCTGAGGCAGGAAAATTGCTTGAACCCGAGAGGCTGAGGTTGCAATGAGGCGAGATCACACCACTGCACTCCAGCCTGGGTGACAGAGCAAGACTTGCTCTTGAAAAAAATTAAAAAATAAAGGTATGTGTCTTCATTATCTATTGCTTTAAAATATAGCACTCCAAAACTTAGTGGTTTAAAACAACATGACTTATTCTTTCTCATGGTTCTGTGGGTTGGCTGAACTCAGCTGGGCAGTTCTTTGATTCACATGTGTTGTCTGGGGTCACTCCTAGAGGTGCACACAGCTGGCAGCTGGGCTGCTCTGTAAGTTCCAAGGCAGCTTTTCTCTTATGTGCTGTTGGCTAGAGCACCTCAATTCTCTTTCTTATGGCCTCTCTCCCCATGTGGTATGTCCTCTTCCGAGGCTTCTACATGTGACCTCTGTCTCCAGCAGCCTTACCTGGCCTTCCTTAGAGCATGGTGCTTCTTCAGTCCAAGACCCAGAACAGACCTGCTACTGCTGCTTTTAAATTTACTTTTTAATTGATAAGTATCAATTGTAATATATATGTATGACATGTTGTTTTGAAATACGTATACAGTTATTCCTGGGTATTCAAGGGGGATTGCTTCTAGAATCTCCCTCCCTTGGATATCAAAATCCATGGATGCTTAAGTCCATAATATAAAATGACATAGTAGGCCAGGCACAGTGGCGGTGGCTCAGGACTGTAATCCCAGCACTTTGGGAGGCTAAGGTGGTGGATTGCTTGAGCCCAGGGGTTCAAGACCAGCCTGGGCAACATGGCAAAACTCCATCTCTACAAAAAATACAAATATTAACTGGGTGTGTTGGTGAGTGCCTCTAGTCCCAGCTACTTGGGAGGCTGAAGTAGGAGGAATGCTTGACCCTAGGAGGATGAGGTTGCAGTGAGCTATGATGGTGCCACTGAACTCCAGCTTGGGCAACAGAGGGAGACTCTTGTCTCAAAAGTAAAAACAAAAAAAAAGGCAAAGCGTCTGCTTGTAACTTATGCACATCCTCCCATATACTTTAAATCATTTCTAAATTACTTATAATACCTGATACAATGTAAATGTTATGTAAATAGTTATACTTACTGTATTGTCTTTTATTTGTATTATTTTATTGTTATTTATTGTTATTATTTCCAAGTATTTTTGATCAGTGCTTGGTTGAATCTGCAGATGTGGAACCAGTGGATACAGAGGGCCATCTGTACATTGTGGAATAGCTAAATCAAGCTAATTAAGATATGCATTACCTTACAAAAGTTTCTTTTTTTGTGTGTGGTGAGAACATCTAATATCTACTCTTAGCAATGTTCAAGAATAGGATATATTGTTATTAACCATAGTCACAATATTGTACAATAGAGCTCTTGAACTTATTCCTGCTATCTAACTGAAATTTTGTATCCTTTAGCCAACATCTGCTGTCTTTTTTTGGTCAAAGCAAGTCATAAATTGGCCAGGTATGGTGGCTCATGCCTGTAATTCCAGCATTTTGGGAGGCTGAAGCAGGTGGATTACTTGAGGCCAGGAGTTTGAGACCAGCCTGGACAACATGATGAAACACTGTCTCTACAAAAAATACAAAAAATTTAGCCAGGTATAGTGGCGTATGCCTGTAGTCCCAGCTACTTGGAGGGCTGAGGCATGTGGATTGCTTGAACCCAGGAGGTCAAGGTTGCAGTGAGCCAAGATAACACCACTGCACTCAAGCCTGGGGGACAAAGTGAGACCCTATCTCAAAAAAAAAAAAAAAAGCAAGTCACAACTTGAGTCTAATTGGAGAAGGACTGGGGAAATAGACGCCACTTGTTGGTGGCAGAGGAATGGCAAAGAATTTGTGGCCATCTTCAATCTACCACAGTATTTAGATTTAAAAATTTGAATGTATGTACCTAAAAACAAAATAAAATAAAATAAACAAAAAATTCCTTTCTATATTATGGTTGTCTGTAAGGACCACATGCTGTTTTTGGTTTCTTTAACCAAATTGTCTTTCCATGAGACTGAGGGTGGTGGGATATGGAAAGGTGGTAACTTGTTTAAGCTTCTTGATAAAAAGTGCTGTCTTTGTTTTCTGTTTTCTGATATTTATACAATTATTCCTCTCTTAGTGGCTTTTATAATTATTGGGAGTAGAAAAATCTTGAATAAACTGTATAGTAGTATGGGTATATTAAATTTATTTGATCCTGAGACCTATATTTCTTAACTTGTTTTTAACTCAATAAATATTTATTGAATTAATAAAAAAATTCTTTAATTCTTGAAGCAGTAACAAACACTGGGAGGCGGAAGTTGCAGTGAAAAGAGATTGCGCCACTGTACTCCATCCTGGGAGACAGAGCGAGCTGGGTCTCAAAAAAACAAACAACAATGACCAAGATCCACTCTTCTTAGAAAGGACACACAGTGATATATGCTTTAAATCTTTGCCTGACTGAAAGTCTTGGGACAGGCATACCATCCAGATTTTATGTGGAATTTTTGTTTCTCAAGCTTTTAAAAACATTCTATAGCTTTCACACTTAAAAAAGTATTTCCATAGGTTATTGGAGAACAGGTGGTGTTTGGTTACATGAGTAAGTTCTTTAGTGGTGATTTGTGAGATTTTGGTGCACCCATCACCTGAGCAGTATATGCTGCACCCAATTTGTCATCTTTTTTTCCTCACCTCATTCCCACCCTTTCCCCCTGAGTCCGCAAAGTCCATTGTGTCATTTGTATGCCTTTGCATCCTCATAGCTTAGCTCTCACTTATGAGTGAGAACGTATGATGTTTGGTTTTCCACTCCTGAGTAACTTCACTTAGGATAATAGTCTCCAATCTCATCTATGTTGCTGCAAATACCGTTAATTCATTCCTTTTTATGGCTGAGTAGTATTCTGTTGTATATCTATACCACATTTTCTTTATCCACTTGTTGATTGATGAGCATTTGGGTTGGTTTCACATTTTTGCAATTGTGATTTGTATAGCTTTCACTTTTGGTTTTTTAAAATTAGTGTTGAAAAAGTGAAATTAGAGCACTCTGTTGTTTCTTTCTGATTTGTAATTACATTTTCCCCCTTTGTTCTTGAATTTAAGTTTTGAAAAATATGACTGTTTATTTAAATGTAGGTCCTTTTAATTAATTTTGCCTGAATCCAGATGAGTCGTTTCAAGTCATGATTTTTCTTCCAGAAACTCCTTCTATTATATCCTTGACTATTGCTTCACTCATTATTACTCTGGTTTCTGCTTTTGGAAAATTATTATGTCTGCTCTCAAATCTGTCTTTCATAATTTTCCCTCATCTCTTTTACCTCTGCATTTTTAACTCTGCTTCTGGGAGAGTATCTGACATGCATCCTCCACAGTACACATAGGAATTTACAAATTATTTCAATAGTTTATACTAACAAACGTACATTTTTCATCACATTTTCTTTTGAATTATTTTCTTACATTAGCTATATTTGCATCTGTATTTATCACAGCTAAATTTTTTCTATAATTGCCTGCTCTTTTTTTCAAAGAAGCTTTCTTTTTTAATCATTTTGGGGAGCCAAGCATAAATACTCTCTTATTTTTACCAGTTTATTGTAGGGTAAGTCATGCTCTTCGTCTGAGGCTTTGGGGAAATATCCCAACTTTGCCTTAAGTGGCAGATTTATTTATTAGCCTTCTTTTCCACCAAAGTGGTTTTCCAGATTACTTGAAATGCAGCTAAATAAATAAATAAATGAATAAATAAATAAATATTCAACTAGAGACAGAAAGAGGAAAAACAAAGAGAAAAATCGAAAATGCCTACCCTGAAGACTCATGCTTTCATGTTAGTGGACACATATTAGTGAGCATCCAAGATGTGTGCTAAGATGTGCTAAGCTGAGAAAGAAATTGCCCCTGAAGCCCATGATAAATGGAATTCTCTGCACCATAATGATTAGTGTCCTTAACAATATCTGGGAGAGGTACAAGGTCATGTGGCTAATGATGGGTTAATGGCCTTACCTCAAAGGCAGTTCAAGTCTGGAAATACTTAGAATGTATGGAGGGTTACATGGATTTCATTTACTTCTTTGAGTGATTCCCCCAAAAACTTTACTTTCCTCAACTTTTGCTGAATATTAGGCAGCTGTTATTTTGAAATTGTTCTCTTTGGCAATTATCTGGAGTGTGATTGTTCTCTATTCCCAATTAAATTTGGAACTACACATTAGTAGAAAGTCAAGCCAGAGGCAAGGTTGACGCTCTGTTGTGAAATTACTGAAGCCTAGGCAAGCCTACATGACTGAGAAAAAGGCACATACATTGATTCTACCTTTATGCAGAGAATTACCTAGGAGGCAAGGCATTACTCATGAGCAGAATGAAGCTTCTTAGAAAACAATTTACATCTACTTTTCAATTTAATTTTATTTTTTTGAAGCAGGGTCTCACTCTGTTGCCCAGGCTAGGGTGCAGTGGCATGATCTCAGCTCATTGCAACTTCTGCATCATGGGCTCAAGCCATTCTCTCAACTCAGCCTCCTGAGTAGCTGAGACTATAGGAGTGCACCACCATCTCCAGCGAATTTTTGCAGTTTTTGAAGAGAACGGGTTTTGCCATGTTGCCCAGGCTTACATCTGCTTTAATGCACAGACAAATGGAAAAGTTCAAAGTTCAAAGTTCTACTTCTAGACCTAAAACAACAGTTTTAGCAGGAAAATCATGAAGGCAGGTGTACGCAAATACTCCACAGTAGTCAAAATACCATCTCAGTAGATTATGCAGAATGCATTGTTTTGAGTAATGCTGCTTCATGGTATGTACACCAAAAAAACT